TCAATTGAAATAGGAAATTAAGCTTATCAAGAACTAGCAGCTTATCAAGAACTAGCAGATAAACTTTATAACAAGAACATACCTCAACTTCCATAGCGCTGAACCCGAATCCAGAGTCCCCTTCAACAGCTAAAACAAGCCTATCGGGCGACGCCACTGCAGCAGCAATGCAATATCCGAGACCAACCCCCATTGTTCCCCAAGTCCCCGCATCCAACCGAGTCCTTGTAGAAACGATAATGGAGGAAAAAATACTCTTCTGTTTATAATCTAGCTAATTTCAGTCTATATATACACGTACATAGCTTCCTACACTATGGCCTAAATCTAAGCAAATCAATTAAATAAGTAAATACAATATTTACATAATATAATCAATTATAAATAAGTAAACATAATATTTACATAATCAGTCAAATATTTTGGTAGCATAATTTCTTCCTAAGATTGCTCACGCCAACACTCCCCCTCAAGTTGGTGAATATATGTCAATCATTCCCAACTTGTTTAGTGAACTTTGAAACTCTTTTCCAGATACAGCCTTTGTTAGGACATCTGCTAGTTGATCTTTTGATGTGACAAATGGAAGAGCAATTGTACCTTTGTCAAGATGATCTTTGATGAAGTGCCGATCAACTTCCACATGTTTAGTTCTGTCATGCTGAACAGGGTTATTTGCAATTGCTATGGCTGCTTTGTTATCACATAATAGCGTCATTGGTTTTGACGGACAGATACCAAGATCGTGTAGTATACGTTTTATCCATAGCAACTCACATATACCTTGAGCCATTCCGCGAAACTCTGCCTCTGCACTTGATCTTGCTACAACCTTTTGTTTTTTGCTTCGCCATGTTACCAGGTTACTCCCAACAAATGTAAAATATCCCGATGTAGATTTTCGATCAGTTTGACTTCCAGCCCAATCTGCATCTGTGTATCCCTTAACTTCTAGATCTCCATTTTTTGAAACAAATAATCCTTTTCCTGGAGAAGATTTTAAGTATCGTAGGATCCGATACACAGCTTCCATGTGGTCTTCGCTTGGTGCATGCATGAATTGACTAACAATACTTACTGCATATGCAATGTCAGGACGTGTATGCGATAAGTATATTAATCTCCCAACTAATCTTTGATACCTCTCCTTATTGGTTGGAGTTTGATCTTGTTGAATGGCTAATTTATGATTCACTTCGATGGGAGTTTCAACAGGTTTACAATCAAGCATACCAGTTTCTGCTAGTAAGTCTAACACATACTTACGCTGGCAAAGAGAGATTCCGTAGCTTGATCTTGCAACTTCAATGCCTAAGAAATATTTCAAGTGCCCAAGGTCTTTAAGTTCAAACTCAGTTGCAAGGTTTTCTTGCAGGGTAGTCATTTCAATTGTATCATTTCTTGTAACAATCATATCGTCAACATACACAATAAGAGCAGTTACCTTTTCATAACCTTACTTGATGAAGAGTGTATGATCAGCATCACTTTGTTTGTATCCAATCTTCTTCATGAAAGTTGAGAGCCTTCCAAACCATGCTCAAGGGGATTGCTTCAATCCGTATAAGGCCCTTCTTAGCTTGCATACTTTGCCATCACAATTTATGCCTGGAGGAGGATCCATGTATACTTCTTCTTCCAACGTCCCATTAAGAAATGCATTTTTAACATCAAACTGTCTTAGCGGCCACTCCCGATTTGCTGCTATAGAAATAAGTACACGTATGGTGTTTATTTTTGCTACAGGAGCAAAAGTATCTCCATAATCAATCACGTACTTCTGTGTGTACCCTTTAGCAACAAGCCTTGCCTTGTAGCGATCTATGATTCCATTTGGACTGAGTTTGACTGTAAAGATCCACTTGCACCTTACTGTTTTCTTCCCCACGGGCAGCGATACAAGATCCCATGTATGATTTGTTTGCAAGGCTTCCATTTCATCATTCATAGCTTTCTTCCATTTTGAATCCATTAATGCTTCCTGCACATTACTAGGAATAGAAACAGGGGATATTTGATTTATAACAAGTGCATGCGATTTTGACAAACGATGAGAGGAGGTATAATTGTTGATGAAATATTTCGTCTTAGCTTTAAAATCAGGATCATATTGAATTTTCGGAATTCCTTTGTTTATCCTAATTGGATATCTCGGTTCATTTGTGAGAGGGGTTGACTCGAGTATTATAGGAGATAAAGGCAAAGATGTTACCTGAGGAAACACATTCGGAGATGAAGGTAAAGATGTTACCTGAGGAGACACACTTGGAATTTCTATGGTTGTTGGTGTGTCCTGGGAAGTTGTACAATCTTGGTTCTCAAGAGTGCCATTAATAATCTCGGGAGGTGTATCAACATCTGGTTCATCTAGTTGCAAATCAATCCCGGCTTGTTCATGAAAAAATTCATGAGTGTTGTCTTCACTTAAATTAAGTGTTTTCTCCCCCTGAAGAGAGCACTCATGTCCACCGAAAAAAGAAAGATCTTCATGGAATGTAACATCTCGAGTTACATACATTTTATTTCCAGTAGGGTCATAACACCTATACCCCTTTTTAAAGACTGCATATCCAACAAATATGCAACGGACAGCTCGTGGATCTAGTTTTCCTGCTACCTTGTGTACATATTCAGTGCAACCAAACACACGGGGTTCAAGATTTGGCTCGACCGGTGCTGAAACAAGTTCATGGAGTTTTTGGTATGGAGTTTTGAAATCAATGACTCGCGATGGAGTTCGATTGATAAGATATGCAGCAGAACGAACAGCTTCGCCCCAATATTCTCGAGGCACTTTCATTCCAAACAAGGACGCTCGAACAACCTCAAGTATTTGGCAATTTTTCCGTTCTGCCAAGCCGGTTTGTTGTGGCGTACCAGTACATGAAGTTTGGTGTCGAATCCCATTCTCTTGACAGAAAATCTTCATGTCAGAGTTTATGTACTCCCCACCATTATCAGATTGAAGAACTTGAATTCGGCATTGATATTGAGAGGCCACCATTTTATATAGATCCTGAAATACAGAACAAACATCTCCCTTGTTTCGGAGGAGAGAGATCCATATCATACGAGTACATTCATCAGTAAAAGTCACAAAATAACGAGCACCAGATAAAGTAGGGACTTGAACAGGTCCCCAAACATCCGAGTGGATAGTCATAAAAGGTGTATTATTTTTATTATAACTAGGCTGATAAGAAATTCTATGGCTCTTTGCCATTTCAGAAATGTCACAATTAAATGTAGAATTTCTATGTAAAAACAAACTTGGTTTTAATTTCCGAAGATAATTAAATGAAAGGTGACCAAGACGGCGATGCCACAGCCATGCCATATCTTCGTTTCCTTGCTTCCCTCCGGTAGTATTTGCTTGACCAGGCATCTTATTGTTTGTAAGGTTCAAATCAAGAAAGTATAAATTTCCACGTCTAATACCACAACCAAGAGTCTGTTGTGTTGCAATATCCTGAAAAATACATTTGTCAGGTCCAAAAATTACATTACAGTTTAAAGCTTTTGTAAGTTTGCTAACAGATAAGAGATTGGAAGAAAGAGAAGGGACTACAAGTACAGTATCAAGATTAATAGAATTTGACACATGTACTGGTCCTTCACCAGTAATGAGTGCAACTCCTCCATTTGCGGTAAGTATGTGAGGTTGAGTTGAAGAACGAATAGAGGAAAGATGGGTAGAGTCATTTGTCATGCGATCAGTGGCACCTGTATCAATAATCCATGTATTATTCATAGTAAGAAAAGTTTTAGACAGACCTGAATCGTCAGTCTTGGCAAAATGTGCTGCAACTGTATTTGGAGGAGATGTAATCACTCCCTCATCTGTTGTGGTAGTAATAGCAGCTTGTCCAATTTTCTTCCGAGGTTTTTTTGTAAAATCCCACCATTCAGGATACCCGATAATTTCATAGCAACGTTGTTTGGAATGTCCCTCCTCACCACAATGAGTGCAAATATAGTTATTTGCTTTAGGGCCAGATTTTTAACCTTTAGCTTGATGGGAATTTGCAGGACGTGTGTGGGCGGTCAAGTGAACCATGCTATCTGAGTGAACTTTAGGTTCCTCCATAGTTTGTCTCTGGTTGTGATCTTTACGAACATACGCGTAGCATGACTCTAGATCTAGAGGTGGGTCTTTTCTTAAAATGTCACTTCGAGCTTGATTGAATTCTGGGTCGAGACCAGCCAAGAAAATATGAACTCGAAGTCTAGTCATATGTTTGTGCAACTTAAAGATTACATCAGCGTCATCTTCTTGTGTTTAAACACGAGCATCAATTTCCTGAAATATACCTATCAGTTCATTATAATATAAAGATAAGGGTCTACCATTTTGATGAGTAGTAAATGATCTCCGATTCAGTTCAAAGATTTGTGTTTCATCTGAGCCATCATAAAATGTCTTTGCAACTGCTTCCCATATTTCTTTGGCTGTTTGGAGACGAATGAATCGTTGCATCAAGAGCGGACTCATAGAGTCAATAAGCCAACTCTTAACCCGGTTGTTATCAATAAGCCATGTTTCTAATTGCTTGTCATATGCTGTTGGCTTTGGAGTTGTGCCGGTAAGAAACCCAGATTTGTTTCGAGCTCCAATACGCATCTCCGTAAGTTGAGACCATAATGGATAATTTGTATCATCTAAGATGATTCCGGATGGGAAGAGAGTATTGTCTTGGACAATGATTCGAGGTTCATGAGGAATAATAGAAGAGGATGGGATGTTTTCAGTCATGATTGCAGAAAACAAAATTCAGTTTCTACATTCACAAATGCTCTGATACCATGTAGAAACGATAATGGAGGAAAAAATACTCTTCTGTTTATAATCTAGCTAATTTCAGTCTATATATACACGTACATAGCTTCCTACACTATGGCCTAAATCTAAGCAAATCAATTAAATAAGTAAATACAATATTTACATAATATAATCAATTATAAATAAGTAAACATAATATTTACATAATCTGTCAAATATTTTAGTAGCATAATTTCTTCCTAAGATTGCTCACGCCAACAGTCCTTGGCTCAGTCTGTACCAACACGGATCTGCCAATATCCATTGTATTCGCTCCTTCAGACACCAAAATTAGGGCGGGACTACCCAATTCCAAAATTGCGTCTCTAATAATCCTCATTGGAGTCATGAAGTTAAACGGCACAACATCCTTGGCTAATTGTGCCTCCATTTTTGACACATTTTCCTTAGTTTTCTTAGCTAATGCCTCAATCCAAGGATGATTCTTCCCCAAACAAAAAGGGTCGTCTTTTATCTCCTTGTTTATGGTCTCCACAACCTTAGTAGCATCTCCCACTAACCCTAACCATGGCTTCCTTAGCTCAATCTCGTCCTTGGATATATCAACCAATATGAACTTCACATCCTTGGTGATGTATAGCTTTAGCTTTAGCCTTTTATATATGCAAATTAGGAGCAAAAGTGCCTTCACCAAATATTCATCGTCTCGGCAACGGTTGCGTTTGGATGGGAAGGGAAGAAAGAAGCAAACTTTGATTGGCTCCACCGCCACACGCCACTCTATCAATTGCCAAGCAAACTTCGCTTTGAACTCTTTTTTGAGCTTTTCTCACCTTGCAGCCTTGCTCTTACATTACATTATACCCTCCCCCAACATAAAATTCAATTTAAATTAGAGACAAGAGAAAATTTCAATTTTAGTCCACTGATTATTGGAGCTGTGTTAATTGCAACACTTTCAAAAATGTTAATTTAGTACCTTGACTATGTAATTTTTATCAATTTTGGTCACACCGGCTAAATTTCTGGCCAAATCTCACTGAAAAAAATTAATAGGGTATTTTAGTCATTTTACTCATTTTCTTTCTTCTCCGATGGTCTTCTCCCCATTTCCGACGACAAACTGCAACTACCTCTCCGCCAGCCTCACGCAACTTCCTTTTCATCATCAGGGAGCCCGCAGGTGAGCAGTGAATTTAGAATGCTATTAAAGCCAGGAATGAATTGAATTAAGGTCTCCGTCTGCTCTGTATAAATTGTGCATTCATCTCCAACTCCATTAACGCCAAACAAGCAATTATTTCTTTGTTTTCAACTTAAAATTGCAAGTAGATGTAAAACAAAGTGCACGCATACATACAGACAATGGGATATATCATATATATTCAACTTCAATCATTTAAAAATAATAATTAAATAAATGATGGAGGGAATTTAGCGTGGGAGTGATTAGGGATGTGTACCACCGACACCAATTTTGGTACCTGTGTTCAGTTGCATATCACTTCTCTTTAATTTATATAATATAATAGGCCCACAGTACACCGCGTTTTCTCACCTCACCTCCCTTCTTCTTCTTATTATCGTTGCTTGATGGATTGGACTAAGCACCAGGGATTTTGGTTGACCATATGCTGCCCTCCACTTAAATACAGAACACATAGTAAGGTTCGCCGAGCTTCAGCTCCTTTCCGTCAATGCCGGTTATCACCGGAAAAGGGGGAGTTGATGATGAAAAGGAAGTTCCGTGAGGCCAGCAGAGAGGTACTAGCAGATTATTCGTCGCCGGAAATGGGAGTAGATCATCGGAGAAGAAAGAAAATGAGTAAAATGATCAAAACACCCTCATTATTTGACCTATTAAATTTTTCGGTGAGATTTGGCGGGCAATTTGACCGGCGTGACCAAAATTGATAGAAATTGCATAGTCAAAGTACTAAATTAACATTTTTAAAAATCAGTGTTATAATTAATACAACTCCAATAATCAGTGGATCAAAATTGAAATTTTCTCCTTTGATCCATTATAACTTGCATCTTTCAGTGCTCATATCTTTGATTCATTATAACTCTAGCTTTATCTCTTCACTGTTCTATAGACAACATGCCAAAATCCATACATTCTTGTGATTGGCACTATTTTGTGTGGTTCAGCCTGGACTAACTCCATGCCATTATGAACAGACATTTTATTTTTTGGTCCAAGGGGTTTTCAGGCCATGGGCCCATGGTTTGCATTGCCACACAGAGCTAAAACTGTACATTACAGTGCAAATTTGCATCAATTGTCATTGGCTTTTACTGCCTCATTAGTCATTATTGACTTGATTCAGAAATCCTGATGCATTTAGAAAAGGCCCATATACAATGAACCAAAAGTAGGCTTCATTAGACATTCCACCTGCAATAAGTAAATTCATCTCAAGAAAAGTGCACTTTCTTGACTCACAACACTAACATTTGAATCAGATAAGTGAGACTAATCTGACCTGATTTGCCACGAAATTTGTTTAAGCTGTCTTAAATATATACTATGATTGGGCCTTTCTTTATGATACTCCTTAAAATTTAATGAAGAGGCAGCCATTATGATCAAAGGAAAGATGAAGGCTGTGCTTTACATCTTTTCAACTCAGCTAGGAAGGTTAAAGGAACTTGATAGACAGACCAGTAGCAATCCAATAGAATTGAAAATTAGAGAAACAAAAGATTAGTAATCTAGTAGAATTGAAAATTAGTAAAACAAAAGATCCAGTGGAATCCAGTAGAATTGTCTTCTTCTTATTATTTTTAATTTTTACTAGTATGTCACCTGTGCGATGCAAGGACTAAAAATTAGAAATATTGTATTTATGTTAAGAAATTGTTAATTATTCTAGTCTTATTAAAATTGAAGTATAAATATTTTTTGAAAACCGCATGCATTGCAAGATGTAAAATTAGTATACATAAATACAAAATAATATTAAAAATAGGATATGACATTGAAAATTCAAAAATATTACAAATTATTGAAAATTTATTTGTAAACTACATTTTGTGTAGTAACCTAAGAGTTTGTCAATGATTGGGTTTGTTATTCTTAATATAATTAGAATTGGACTCATTATTTCTAGCATATTAGAATTAGGTCTTATTATGTAACTAAGACTCCCAATATGAGGCAGTCTAGAATTCTTATTCCTAGTAGGACTCTAAGCCCAAAATATGTATAAATAGACCCCTCACATAGAGGAGGGGGGACAACTTTTCAGCACGATTCACCAGCAATACTCTTCAATACAAAGTTTCTACTATACGATAGTGTTTGCCTGCCGTTGACTGCCCAAAAGTCATAAACCAACAAAGAAGTAATTACAAACAAATTTGTTCAAGTAAAAAATGAGTGAAGGTAATAGTATGTAGTTTAATTTGTTAGTACGTCAAGATTTCAAGATTATTATTTATCACCAAATTAATTAAAGGTATTATGATGTGTGTTAAAGAAGATTTATGTATATTGTAGGGATAATGCAACAGAAAAAAGGGCAAATTCTGGAATCCAGTGAAAGAATTGAAGAAGCAAATAATAAAACACTGAAGCGAGCGTGTCGCAGAAAAAGGCCCAACAATAATTCCTCTCTCAACCAAGCTGCCTTTAAGAAGCATAAAGGTCTCCCGCCTAATATCACCATGCCCGTCAAGGTAAGCTATCAAAGTAAAATCGTAGCTTTTCTACTCTCGTCCTCATCGTCAACTATGAAATATTTGAAGGAGCAATTGGAGATGAGGTTTAGGTTTAAAATATCAGCACACAAATTTGTTATCGAGTATCAAGATCACGAAGATGAGTGGATATTAATAATGAGTGATTCGGATCTGATGTACTGTATGGATGTGTTAAAATCAAGTGGGAAGAAAGTAATAAAAATGAGGGTCACCCAAAAATCTCCTCTTCACTGTAATCCATCAATCATTATCCCCTTAAATGAATCTCCGGCCATACAAGCAGCTCACCTGCCACCAAACGCCGCATCCGCCGTGAACTCATTATCTAACTGCGTCGGTCCTACTGTGTCGGAGATTCCCACCCCAATTTTGTTGAGTGAAGGCAGTACTAGTAGTGTTGGTAGTTGTTAAGACGTGAGGAGGTCATGGTATTTTCATATTCCATAGGAGTTAGGAGCCGTGAGGAACACTATCATCTTCGTCAGATTTTCTCCATCCTCCAAGCAAACAAGTTATATGTCAACATATTCAACACGTACTTGGAAATGTTCAATCTTTCCTTACAATTGAATTTCAAATTTCTGTATTCGTACGTGTATATAAAGTATATTTCATTATTATCTGATTAAGTATTGAACATAAACACAATGATAATGCATGCTATCCAAAAGAGAATTAAGAAAATTTCTTATTCAAACCAAAAATAGTACAGAGTATTTATTTAGACTATTGTTTTAGACCAACCTTTTTACAAGGTTATAAACATCTATCTATACTATATATAAACCAGGACTATGTGGTTTAATGGTACTTGCGTTGGACTTCCATTTGGAAGTTTCAGTAGGTTGAGAAAGTATATGAACAGATACTACAATGTAATAGAGCCAGTAACTTTAAAAAAAAAAATAATCTATACTATATATAAAAATAAAATCTTGAACTTTAACTTTCCGCCCAATTCCTAAAAAATAAAATATATTGATTTCTACTTTTCCATTTGAACAATAATTCTAGGTTAAAATTATATTCTAATATTATAAAATTGTGTAATACTATTTCCATTCTAATCTATACTATATATAAAAATAAAATCCTGAACTTTAACTTCCCGCCCAATTCCTAATAAATCTCTCTTCCTAATAAAATATATTGATTTCTACTTTTCCATTCGTACAATAATTCTGGGTTAAAATTTTATTCTAATATTATAAAATTGTGTAATACTCTTCTTATTCTAATCTATACTATATAAATCCATATATTAAAAACTATGAGAACATTATGTTTTATTAATGAATTTTTAAAAATTTTAATTAAAAAATTGTCCCGTGCATTATTTAATCATCTCTCTTTCTAATTAGTCAAATTATTTAATTATGGTAAATTAGGGAATAATTAATGATTGTAATAGAAATCCTAAAAGAATATAAAATAGAAGAATATTTAATCATTTTTATATTATTATTGTGACTCACGGAATACAATACAAGAATATTTAATTATGCTTTTATATATATATATATATATATATATATATATATATATATATATATATATATATATATATATATATATATATATATATAGAAGTTGGTTCTGGTGCGGTTGAATGTCTCCCGTGCGGTTGTGCTTTGAGTAATGTGCGTGAGTTTTGTATATAACGTGCGTGAGTCTTGTGCTTAATGTGCGTTAGATTAGTGTTCTTAATGTTAGTAGTTGTTGAAACTTAAGTGGCATGAGTTTTGTACTTAAAGTGCGTGAGTTTTGTGCTTAAGGTGCGTGACTTTTGTGCTTAAGGTGCGTGAGCTTTGTACTTAATGTGCGTGATATTAGTGTTCTTAAGGTGTTTTAATTTGTTTCTGTGTTTAATGTGCGTGTGTTGTGTACTTAACGTGCATGCGTTAGTTTAATGCTTAATGTGCATCCAACCGCACAACAACACGAGAAGTCATTCCCGCACCTGATATATATATATAAGTGCAATTGTAAGCATTTCCTTTATAAAAAAAAAATCTTGAATGTCTCATAAACTAATTATTAAGGAATCCTATGATTCACACTGAATGTGAAATATGCAACAATTTGAATCAGTTTCCATTGTGGGGTTCAATTTGAAAGAAAACATTAATTTCAATCAAAATTGCATAAATGAAAATAATGTTATCTGTAATCGAAATTACACACTTTTAAGATGTTTTTCTTAGAATTTTTCCCATTATCATGATCAAATGCAAAGGTAACCAAAACAAATCATTCTTAAAATGAAACAAGAAAGTGCAAACCAGATATTTATAATACTCAAGTGATAAGATTAAAATGGATTTGCAGAAAAGGGGCACCGGACTTGGTCCTATACGATGCAATCTAGGCCAAGTTTCCCTTAGGAGAGGTTCACCTAGGATTGAGCTCGATCATGACCTAAGGCCATCATTACCTTTAATCGTGATAGTATCAAAACCTGGAAATGTTAGATTGCTAAGAATGTTAGATTGCTGGTTCACGGAATGTCAGATTACCTTAGAAAATACTAGATTGTTGGGAATGTTGAATTCTTGGGAATGTTAAAATCACGTGTTCGGTTAAAATTGAAATATTTAATATAAAGCTGTTTTGTTATAGAGTTGTTCTTTATGTTATAATGGTTAACATAAGTTTGTAAGAGAGGGAAGGGTAGAGTTGTAAAAAAAAAAAGCAAGGTAATCTTACATTACCTAAGAAAAGTAAGGGAATCACATTCCCTTCAAAATAAGGAAAAAGCTTATGTGAATGTTAAATCTTATTCCATGGGAATGTTAGATAACTTCAACCAAACTCAAGAATGTCATATAACACCCGAACCAAACGCCCCTTTATTGTAATGAATACAAACTCCATATCATTAATCATAAATTGCTAATAATTTACAAGCATTTAGGACACTATACCACCAGTCTTTAGGGTAGGACTGGTGAGGGTCCTTAAGTCACTGCTGGAAATTATCATTTTTCCGACCTCATTCCGACCACTCAAAAAAATGGTCACAAAAAATATTTTTTTTTATTTTTTCGTCCAAAGCCTGCACTGGTCAGAAAATGGTCGGAAAATTCCGACAACTATTTAAATGTGGTCGGAAAGTTTTTTCAATTATTTTAAAATTTTAAAAATACTTTTTTTTGCCCATCGTACGATGGTCAGAAATAACATATATATATATATATATATATATATATATATAACAGTGAAATATCACTTAGATAGTTTACGGCTATTTATTATTTTATTTTAATGACCATCGGACACGCACTTCTAAAACATCACTTCTTTCTCCCAACTAGATCTTCTCAACCTAATCGGCTACTCGTCTACCGCCGGCCTCTCTCGTCCAAATCTCTATTGGTTTATGAAGAAGAGGGGAGGAGAGAGAGAGAGATGAAGGCTTCAAGACCTAGCGATTTGGTTTATGAAGAAGAGGGGAGGAGAGAGGGAGATGAAGGCTTCAAGACCTAACGAGAATGGATAAAAATTTACAGCTAGTAACAATGAGCAGGAAGAACAATCAACTCAAGTCTTTGATTCTTCACTTGTAACACATCCTCCGATTAGGATTTCATCAAATTCCTCTTTTCTCTCTAATCTGCATGCATTTTCATTTATCTTCCACACAATTGGTTATGATTTTTCAATATCAAGGAAAAATTATGTACAGTTTCTTCCTGTCATTTTGACTCACTGTAATTTGCTAGAATCCAAGTTGGTTGTGGGTAGAGGAATTCAAGTTTTTGAGAATGGCGGAATCACAGTAATGTATCTAATAAAAAGTTATAGTAATTGTGGACTCTTTGTTTCTTTTCCATTAGGCTGGGTTCATGATCAATGAAGATTTGGGACTAGTATTTAGTAATTGTGAATTCTATACTTCTATACATACTGTCATTTTTCAAATTGGCGGTTGCGTGCAACTGCATAGCTCCTCAATTTCAGTCCTATTATTGCAATTTTGTTTAGTTTAACATCAAAGTACTCACTATTGTGAATTAGTTACCTTGTTAAGTTATATAAATTGAAAGCATGTGTATAATTATATCACAGGAAACACCATATGTTGTCCTTGCTGGGCTCGTTTCAGCTTTGAAAGTACTTGGTGGAGCATTAATTGACCAAACTTTCTTGTTCCTAGGCTCCAGAGAGGTAGCTTGTTCATCTTTTAATAAATTTATTTACAATGCTAGAATTATGCAATTGTATAAACCACTGAAGGCTGGAACTGGAATGTTGAGCTTATTGCACTTGAAATTTCAAAGAAGGTACTAAATTCTGTGTCGTTGTCTTAGTTCAATTTCACTTTCTTTCCCTTCTGGTTTCTCGATATTCATACTGCCTGTGTAACTTTTGCAGTCATGGGTTGTGCTAGATGAAGTTCGAAAAAAGATTTGAGTTGTCGACTCAAAGGCACTTGCACTGATCTCATCAATTTTGACTAGCTTCATAATAATGCACATTTTCTTTACTACTGCCATGAACTTGACCATTTTCACCGGTAAAACTTGTTTGGCTTTATATCAGGGACTTGGTCTCACGAACACTGTTAATAACTGCAACAACCCGGGTTCCACTTGAGCAAGCAGGGCATGGATTGACACCAACACCAATCGCGAAAACTAGAGAATGATCAACACTCAGCGGGGCGTTTGCAGGGTAGAGTCTCGAATTCAAGCTTCTGAGGGAGTCCGTGTAAGAAATTGTCACTGGCGTGGTGTCCACAAAAGTAATGCCTAACTGCATTCACATATTTGGTGAGATTGCTGATTTTATATCCTTTGTTTCCTCATTTTGGATTTGATTGCAGTATTTTATGTGGTGCTTTCATGAGGTTTTTCTTCTGACAGAGATAATTTGGAGGGATGATTGTGATTTTTTGTGTATATTTGCCCATTTATGATATTCTTTCTGGTAACGCATAGGGAAATTATGTTACATTGGGGCACTTTTTGATCAACAACTTCAGTCTTAACTTATTGTATGACTTAAAATTTTGGTTATTAGAAATCATGGATATTGTTTTCATTTTATTCTTTCTTTTTCTTTGTAGATCTTGTATACTAAAGTTTGCTTGCTATAGAGGTAAAATTTTAACCTAATTGTTGAAGTGATTATGTCAATGAGAAAAATAATATTTTTCTCTTTTTTGTTACTTCTTGCATCAATTGACATCATCTTTTGTTTTTTGAGATGGCAAAGTTCATAACTTGGGATGGTGAAGAGTTCATTCAAGCAACAACATGAACTTGGTTTGTATAATTTTCCTTTGTGTTTGTGTATTAGCTATTTAACTAAATTGGTGTTAATTTTCTGAGTGGAATAATTTCAGAGAAGAGGCGGGTTGAGGCTGGCCGAATTCAGGAAAAATGATTACGAATCCCGGCATGCATCAGGGAAGGTCCCAGACATGACTGGACCATGCCTGAAATCAAGTCCATTTACGACTCCCAGCTTCTCGATCTCCTCTTTCACGGCGTCAGCTCCCTCCCTATTTCTCTATGTCTTGTCGGCGGATGCACCATTCGTTTCTGATTTGTTTATGCTTTTGCAGGCTCAAGTTCATAGGCATGGTCTCAACTTCCAAGAGGTACAACATTGCACTCTTCTGTAAGTGTCACTGTGAATTGGAATTGTACTCTTACTTCATTGTAATTACATTTGGAATAAATATGGCATCATTTTTGGACCACATGGTAAATACTAGTTGTAGGTTTACAGTTTTGTAAATATTAATATGATATAAGTATAACCACATAGTAATCTTCCATCAATTTGATATGCTAGAAATTGAAGTTCTAAAATTTGACATGGGATGGGTCAATGTGATCAATAGATATTTATGCTGATGGTATACTTATTCCAAATTAGGCAAGACAGGTTGGTAATAGACTTCTGGAATGATATATTATTCTTCTTACCAGGAAAATAATGGGATAAGACTTCTGTAATGTTTGTTCGCATGCTATGTAGTTAAGTCCCCCATTTAATGCATTGGCAGGCAAAAGAGGCTGGTAGCACTTGATTTTGTATTGGTGCTGCATGGAGGGATACTATAGGAAGGAAAACCAATTTAATATAATTTTCTGCCTGTGAAGTTGAAACTGATGCTACAATTGGTTCTCTGGCATTAATTCTTCAAAGGAGAATTGATTTTTCCAATCTCATGATTGTATGTGGGACTTTGAAGAACTTTTCAAAGAGCACTTCAGGAGGCGCGGTTATTACATTCTCAAAGCATGTGATGCCTATATTGAGAAATTTGCTCCCTTGGATGAGGTGCGTATGAACTTTTATGATGTATTTTAAACTTGTTTATTCCATCATATGACTCAATATCAATAATTGATAACTTTTCTTATTATTTATTCATTTTTTGACAGCAGTGTTTTTTGTACATTTATGTAAGCGAGTTGTCATTACCAATAGGACAACTTTAATTACAGCAAATACAAACTCATCACTTTTGTAAGTTTTCACTAGTGAAGAGGCCAAAGGGAGCTCCATACATCAACCAAGGTGTGGGATGCGCGGAAATTATATTGCTGATAATAGGCATGGAGATGATGAAGGTAAATTACATTCCCATGGACTTAAAGGATTGCTTTCTTTTTTTTTGTTTTATCTCTTGAAATTCTCTTATCTCTATTTTGTCCAATCGCTACATCTTGAACACAAGCAGGATTTTGTTCATGGAGCATGTATGAAATAGAAGGTTTTTGTGAAAGATCTTTTGAAATTACACTGACTGACATGTATCAGGTATTAGTATTTCTTACAGTACTAAAAAATTTGGAATTTCTTTACCATTGTACTCAGTTGACATTGACCAATCTGGCTGTTCATTTAGTCTTATAATTATAGAGTAGTTTTTTTTTTTTTTTTTGAGATGAGGTTGGCTTAAGTGTTGACATCCCCTCTTATATATCGTTGTGTAATTTTCTATTTGAGATTCCCATGTGTATTAACCTATTAGATTTTTGGTTTAGAAGTATTATTTTTGTTCCATTTTGTCATGGACTCTCATAGATGGAAAGCAACATTCATCCTCCCATAGAAGTATAATGTAGAATTTTTTTTATTTTTTCTTCGTAAATCTTACCGACCACTAGTGGATGGTAATTCCGATCAATTACCGACCACCAGTGGTAGGAAATATGCTCTCTTTATCCGACAACTAGTAGTTCCGACGTCTTAAAAAGGAAGCCGGTATTTCCGACCACCTTGAGTAGTTGTCGGTAACAGCTAGGGCTTTTTTTTCGAATCGATGAAGTGGTCGATAAGTTGGTCGGAAACTGCATTTCCGACCGGAAATCTTCCTTTTCCGACCACCAAAAAGTGGTCGGAAAAATGCAGATTTCCAGCAGTGAGTTTGGGATTCAAATTTATAATTTGTTAAAAATTTAGGTCAGTAAAATATTACAAGATATAAAAATCATTGAATATGAACGTCAATGTATTTATTTAACGTTGAGCTCATAAATATAATGCTTATTTAAGTTGATACAATCAGATTTGACCCATTATAATACTCACACTAACTCGATCCAGTACTGAAAAATGTCAAACCCAAATCACCCAACAATACATTAATTTGCACCAAAAATGATATAGTGACCGATTGGTGAAGCATAATTCTATAAAAAGTAGGGAGCATATTTATTGTTTTTTACTATGACAATTTTACATATATACAACTATTGCATTTTCCATTATATTAATGATATGAAATTTTTACAATATGTTCTAAATTAAAACAATGAAAACAAAAAAAAACTAAATCCTACAAAATAAAACTAATGCCTTGTGACCCTAAAGGACCACGAAGGAGTAAACCAACCTAGGTTGTCTATAACTAACTGGCTCAAATCAAGAAGGCTGGAATTCGAACTCGTGATCTTGTAATTACAAGTTTATATCCTTAGCAAACTTGGCTGGGTTTATTCCTTTCTTTGATGCATATTTCATGTGGTTCTACCTAATCCTTGATAAGTAAATGAAAAATTAACTTCAACCCACTCATATGGGAGTTCGTTATGATGAGAGTTTTAATTTGCATGTAATTTACCAGAGCAATTCTAAATTCTAAAATGCCATGAAAGCTAAGTGCTTGCTATGAAAAACTCGCTGGTATATATGATAAAGTTTTCTTGATGACAGCTAGCGCATAATCAAGGCAACCTGCTCGCTGCCAATCATTTCAATTATCAGTCATATAATAATGGCAGAACCCATAATGATATACTAAAAATTCATAATAGGTAGTCGTAACATATTTCACCATAACAATACAAAACATCAAATATAGATAAACTGACATAAGAAGCCGCAATTTTTTAGATAAAGATGACCTCAAGTTTATAATCAAGACTATCAACCTTATAAACCATATTGTTAAAAGGGTTAAAAAGGGCTTCATAATCAGCAGTTTTTTTTTTTTTTAATTTTTATGAGATTATTGCATGATGATAGAAATTAAAAAATAATAATAATAAATTTAAGTGGATAAAAACCTGAGCTAGGACCCATCCGACAAGCCAATCAATATCCACTACAAGAAAAATGCACATAGACAACGGTTAAAAACCGTTGTCGTAGGGGTAAAACTTCTGTTGTTGAAGCCGGTGTTGTTGTAGGTCACGCGCATAGACAACGGTTTTTAACCGTTGTCTTTTCTAGAAACGACAACGGTTTTTCAACCGTTGTCTATTAAGTGTTGTTGAAACCGGTGTTGTTAAAAGTCACGCACATAGACAACGGTTTTAAACCGTTGTCTTTTCAAGAAACGACAACGGTTTTCTAACCGTTGTCTATTAAGTGTTGTTGAAACCGGTGTTGTTAAAAGTCACGCACATAGACAACGGTTAAAAACCGTTGTCTTTTCCTGAAACGACAACGGTTTTCGAACCGTTGTTTATTAAGTGTTGTTGAAACCGGTGTTGTTAAAAGTCACGCACATAGACAACGGTTAAAAACCGTTGTCTTTTCTTGAAACGACAACGGTTTTCGAACCGTTGTCTATTAAGTGTTGTTGAAACCGGTGTTGTTAAAAGTCACGCACATAGACAACGGTTAAAAACCGTTGTCTTTTCTTGAAACGACAACGGTTTTCGAACCGTTGTCTATTAAGTGTTGTTGAAACCGGTGTTGTTAAAAGTCACACACATAGACAACGGTTATAAACCGTTGTCTTTTCTATCAACGACAACGGTTTTTGACCCGTTGTCTATTCAATGTTGTTGAAACCAGTGTTGTTAAAAGTGATGCACATAGACAACGGTTTTTTAACTGTTGTCTATTGTGTGTTGTTGAAATTGCTGTTGTTAAAAGTCACGCCCATAAACTGTTGTCTTTCGTAGAAAAGACAACAGTTTCAAACTGTTCTCTATTGTAAAATAGACAACGATTTTTAACCGTTGTCTCAACGGTTTTTAACCTGCTTAAATTTTAATCATATACCAAAAAACAATTTATCCATTCACCATGGCCAAGTGTAGTTACATAATTTTGCACAAGCTAAGGTTCAACATAACAAGTGTAAATACTTCCATGACCAATTCTCATCGAATCAAATATCATCCAAGTCATAATAATACAAAAAACAATTCGACGAAGTCGTACTACAACAAACAATTCCACGAAGTCTAAAAGATCACAACGTTCTAATGATCAAATCATACCTACTGTATATAACTTATACAATATCGGCCCATTCAGAACGCACCAGATCAATAACCGCTTTGTCATATTCAACTTGTTGGAACTACATGTAAAAAGTGAGTAAATAAATTAGTAATTGCAATGAAATTCGAAATAAGTTAGGAGTAATTTTCAAGAACCACTATATGGTAATAGAGTTTTAGCAGTTCTAAAGGCAAGAGCTTTTGTATTTTCTCTAATCTCTCCACTTTAAACTTTGTGAATAAAAGGATCAAATTAAAAACTAAAAAGCATTCATTCAATAAACATCAACAATAAATGGAGTACTCAAAATTATACTGGCAACAAGAATCTCAAATGCATCATATTTCCACTTTGAAACATTGAAATCAAAATAATTTTAAACACGAATTAGAAATGGAATTATTACCAGTGCTTGAACAGAATCTTTATCATCAATGTCCGACATGTTCTCAATTAAAGTCTTCAGGTAAGCCATGACATAGAAACCGCATTGGTTACTATCCGGCTGACGAGGAGCCTACAAATGTTAAATAAGATTTGCATGTGCATTACAATTTAACATATACAAACACTTATATGTAATTAGTTACAAATATTAAATTACCTTGACAATTTCCCAAGCAGTTTTACTTCGTCCTTTCTTTCCATTCCCAGAGGCCGCATGAACCATTTTAATAGCCCTTCAAATATATTGTTGATTATTCATATTATGTAATAATCATACTGATATAAATCGAAAGAAATAACAAAAAAAAAACTTACATTTCTACAACATGTTTCCAATCATCATCGCGAATGCGATGACTAAGAGGGTCCCACAAATAAACAATATCCTTACTGACGTTGATAACTGTCAGAATCCAATGGAAACTATACAGAAACACAAAATTATATTACATCAATAGAAAATAATATGCAATGGAAATTATAATTGTAACCATTCTTACCCTACATTACATGGCACCAAAAGTGATGCACTACTTGGATTGTCAATCAGTCTGTCTGCTAAAGCTCGTGCCCTACTTTCCAACTGTTTGTCTAGGAAATTTTTTCTGTTCTTGTCGTTGGCACATGACCTACATGACATGGCTGCATAAATCTGAATTTTTCAAGCTTGTTCTCTTCCATCATCTTTTTATACAAATACCTAACATTGGAATGGAAACTGAATTAGAATAACAAAGCATAGAAGTGATAAGTATATATAATTGACTCGAAATATATATTAAATCATACCATATGTACACAGCAATACATGTGTACGATATTGGCATCAATTGACAAAACGGAGTTACATCTTCGTCGTGCACATATAGAGTACATTCTTCCCCGAAGACATTTTCATCTAGCACTATTTTTAAACTCTCTCCATTCCCAAGTGCACGCTTGTAATAACAGTATAGTAGCCATTATGACTTAGGCATACTTGAGGAGTTCAACTCAAGCTTTTTGACTTCCTTGCTCGGTTTCTTCTTACATTGTTTCTAATTTGCAAAATATACACATATTAGCTAAATAAATAAATATACTAACAAAGGCATGTGAATTTTATGCATACACAAATTAACATCTCCTACAGTTTATATGAAAAATGCAAAACATTTGAAAATTGAGAGGATGAAGCAAATCTGCAAAACATTTGACAGAGGCACCAATACGTAGACAGTAATTTTTGCCTAAGAAACTAAGTAAAATGTAAACTTCAGTAAAGAGTGAATATTTACCTCCAAGACATCTTCTTTGTCAATAAACTGCAGCTCATCATCATCATCTTCGAAATCCAATTTTTGTTTCATAAAACCAATTTCTTCTTCACTCAGCTTCATCGCACCCTTTGCATCCTTTGCAGTACAACTCCCTTTTTCTTCAATCGGAGATGATTTAAAGGCAACATTTTGAAGGACCAAATTTTCTAACTTTGCAACTCTGTCTTCTACTGTTGCTTGTCGTCTTAGAAGGACATTTTTCTCATGGTTAGGAAGCATCCCTTTACCCAATCTGAAATATGTTGAGGGATTGACATGTCCACCTATAGCCCTCACCCGACCTCCATTCTCCTTAGATTCAAGAGCCTGTGTCAGGATGTCCTCATTTGGTCCTTGAAGTTGCAACAAACCATCTTGCTTTTGCTGAATATATTCATCCTGTAATTCATGACAAATGACCATGATAACCACAATCTTTCGAAATACATAAAGAGGATAGTACCAGTAAATTAAAGGTTTTGCTTACAATCTTTGTAAATTTTTTCTTCAAAACATCTCCTTCTATTTCTCCTTGCTTACTAGTTCTCCCTTTCTTCCAAAGTATAGCT